TCATCAACTTTCTACAAGCTCCACTCTTCCCTCTCCCCTCCAGTTACAGGTCTAGTCTACCTGCTTGGAGTTCTGAGAGGCATACACCTTCTGGTACAAGCCTCCACACCGTACTTAGACCAGTGGTCTGCTTCCTTTCTCTCCCTTCCCCTGGGATAAATTCCCTCTTTAGGTGAATAAATACAGAGTCCAGATGCTCAGCTTATGTCCAACACAACTTGGGTTATGTCAACAGTTAATGAATTTAGAATAAACATTTCTGAAAGCCTTTGATATGTGTGGTGTGCTATCCGGTCTTCCTTTCATACCAGACATTCTTCAATGCACAAAAACTGTGACAACTGCAGTGTGTTAGTGTGAGATGTACAATGTATGCCAACAAACCATGGATAGTAAAGACCCAGTGATTCAGGGAAGATTTATTGTACTGGAGAATATCCAATATTTTTCTTCATAGCACTGAATAACAATTCATGAAAATAATCAGAAAATATAAGCTTTTTAAATGACAGTCAAAAGAGAAACTAATATAATTACATATAATACAGATTTCCATCTTTCAGGTAAGCAAAGCAGTACTAAAAATGGTCATTTTTGTCTTCACAGTTAATGAGCATTGCCACTCCTGTTTAAAGCTTCAGCAACTCAAATATCCTAATCACTGTGTGATTATGTTTAGACCTAAGCTGCATCTGGGTTGTAAACATATTCTTCAAATCTTCCTCCTCTGTATTCTCTAGAGTGGGCACACTTAAATTCATTCTATTTGTGGGAATAATAAAGGTTTCAGAGATACCAACTATACATAAAATGAGGAATTATCACTAGAACTGTTATCTCTAGAACCAGAATGAACTTTTTAAGGCTATGATTCAGCAAAGCATGTGTGCGCGCTTAAACACGTGCTTAAGTCTCATTGATTTCAATGGATTTTGAATCATGACCTTTATGACTGTCAGTTTAATGACTAGCCCTAATCAGCATCTGCTTCAGCTATGTACTGAACAGGGATGGATTTAAGCATATGCTTAAGTGCATTACTAAACTGGGCTTAAGTGCATGTACAGTATGTGTGTTTATGTAAATACTACACACACACACACATGTGCACACAGTTCTTGCCATTAGCTTTCTTGTGTTTGAACATTCTATACACTAAGGTAGAACCTGCACTTATTTTGGTTTCTACAAACATAAAAAAGCACCTGAAAAGAGCTATTGCAGCTTTCAATCAGTCACTGTATTGGCATCGAAAGCTTTATTTTGAAAACGATAAGCAGCAATACTGAATAAATAAGATAGAATGATTGTTTTGTCATCTCCATACAGCCGATGGCCTTCATCCAAAACATGAAAATACTGTAGCAAATAGAATAAACATGCATGTTTCAATGTTCCAAAAACAAAAAAAATGGCATAATATAAAAGTAACACTTTGACACTTATTTTAATACCGTGCAGGCCATTAAAGATTATTTTCTGGAAAAAAAATGAATAAAGTTTTGCTATTTACATAGATAATTAAGGCCCAATTCATTCTAAGTAATGCACATTGGGAAACTGTATACTTCAGTTCACTAAAAATCACAGGATCAATTTTTTCCCCATACTCATATAATCCCAATTCACCATAATGCAATACATAGTGTGCTTTTTATTTATTTATTTTTTTTAAAAGGCAGTCATAGCCCCAAGTAGAGATTTCCTTTCTCTAAAGGGTCTTCTTCTCTTAATCACAAAGAAAAGTCATATTTGCAGATTCTGTAGGCTAGGGTAGCGATGGAATGTTCTCTTTAAAGTTTCAGAAGATGGGTAACTTTTTCAAAAATGCTTGAGTGACACAGGAGCCATTATGTTTCAATGAGATTTAGGCTTTTGTTGTTGTTGTTGAAAATTTTACCCTAAATCTTAATCTATTTTTGCATTTATCTCCCTTCATACACTTGTGAATGACAATGTGAGGGATTCACACAGTTAATTTCCATTAGCAATAATAGGAGTCTTTCATATAAATGTCCTGTGCACTTAAAGGAAAATAGATACTTGTGTATTAAACTATTTAATAAAAACAAAAATCTATATTTATTATGCTGGCAAGTATATAATGTGGCACCTGTTACATGCTGTTTTTGTTCTACTCATGCCCCTCTGACCAGGTTTGAAAATGCTTTTGAAAATGGAAGCATGATAAAAATCTACATTTTAAAAGGGTCACATGTTGATATGGAGTGAAACTCTTAATTCTTTATGATGCTGTGGTTGAACTGAATAATAAATTGAACAGAAAGTTCAACATATCAAGAAGATGGAAAATAAAGGTATTTTCTCAAATTTTAAAAAACATTTCAGTGAATTTTTTGCCTTACTAACAGCAGCCCTGGAGCACCAACTGTTCTGTTTACCCTCCTAGTGGACAGAAGCAGTGAAAGCTCCTCAGGTGCCCTGATGATGTTCTTCAGCTTCAACTTGGAGAGAGTACAAGGTGGGATGGTTGTCTCCAAACCCACTTAGTGTTTGACCTCTCTGCCAAACAGCAGTCACCACCAATCTATGTTAAATTTAAACTACTAAATTAAGGGGAAAGGCTCCAAATTTCGTTACTGGAACAATATCTTGAGCCATCCAAAATCCTGAGTTTTCTTACCCCACCGCCCTTAAAGCACAAGACGACACATAATTCTTATGATCTTAGCATTCACGGAACTCAATGGGAGCTGGATCAGATCCTTACTGCATAACAGAATATTTTCAGGATACATACGTTTATCTGCTTTAACAATCCTTTATATCAGTATGCAGCAAAGATTTGATTAAACTTTTCTTTGTGATTAAGTGACATAGGATCTTCGCTATGCAATGCAATTTGGGCTTGATACTGCAAAAGCGCCGACTGCCTCAACTCCTATCGACTTCTAAGGGAGTTGAGGATACTAAGTATCCTGCCAGATTGGGCCATTTTTGGGGCAAAATTGGACCTGGAAAGTAAAGGTATATGCCCCCTGTACACAGTATAATCTCCAAATTATTTGTGTTTTATATTAATTAACAAATACATTTTTATATAAGAAAGTTATGGGCACAAACATACATGAGCACAGACTCATCAATAACGGATATGAAAAACTGAGCGTGGCAAAGATTCTTTAGGCTAGAGCAGCACATTTACCAGTTTGTTCACAAGTAAAAAGAGACCTGGATAATGAATTTTTGTTTTTGAACTGAGTCTGTTTTGAAAGATCCTTTATATTTTCACAGCCTCATTTGAAGTTGCTGTTAGTCTAAATACAGCAGCATTTTTAGTATTTATGGTGCTATTAATAAAAGAGAAATGAAAAAATTTCATTTAACGGTGATTCCTTCATCTCATGCTGTATCCTTCAAACTTTGAGTTACCGTTCTGATGTGGAAATTCATGGTCGTTTTTAAAATAAGAATTAATTTCGTATTTATCTGGGCACAAGTAAATCCAAGCAGGAACATCTATATTTTAAAAATAAACAGATTTCTGAAATATTATTCTTTAGTAATTAAACCTTGGGTTTTTACTCACCAAGGATGAAATCCTGATCCCACTGAAGTCAAAAGAAGTTCTGCCATTGACTTCAATGGAATCAGGATTCTCCCTCTAGATTTTGATTTCTGGGGACCCCAAGGGCTAAATTCTGCTCTGGATGCACTGGCATGGCTCCCACTGAAGTCAAAGGGATCTGCAGGCATGCGATGGCAATAGCTGGTGCTGTTATAATAGGCAGTCCAAATGCAATACATAAGGCGCAGATTCTGTAATCAGATCCATGCAGTTGGACCCCCTTCTCGTCATGAAGGAGTCCCACTGATGCCAATGGTGTTCTGCACAGACTCAGGAGTCCACTGCATTGATCCGAGTGCAGGACCAGGGCCTAGCATCATAACCGCACTTTATTTGGAAGTGATGTACCTGTATGTGTTTACTCTTGCATTCTGCTGGGAAGCCACTTTGTCTAAACCTTGTTTTATTTTTGGTTGTACTAGGTGACCTCAAAACATTGTAAAAATAAACTGAAGTCTCCTAGTGAATCTGTGAACGTTTATCTTCTACCTCTCACTTGTAAAATACATGCTCTATAAAACCCTGACCAGAAATAGTCTTGCATATCTAAAGAAAAACATGTTCCATAACATTTTGGGGAGCAGGAATGAAATCCTGGCCCCAGTGAACTCAATGGGAATTTTGCTATTAATTTCAAATGGGACCAGGATATCACCGCAGCTCTTTTAGCTATCATTTTGCTAAATGGTGTGTGTGTGGTATTTTTTTTTAAGAATAGTAACATTTACAGGAAAATAAGAACACTGTCCTGGTGGTGAAAAGAAGAGTAAAAATCACACACAGTGAAAAGCCTCACACCCCTTTTTAGTAAGACATACGATGAAGACCCCTTATATTGTTTGTTTCTCAAAAGGCATACGCAATGTGGCACAATATCTCAAATATACATTCTATATAATAAAATACTGTCTAACTAGTGCATCCTCAATCATATGCTGGAAATATCCTTACCAAGCCAGCTTTAAATTCCATAATCTTTTAATGGTTCATTCAAGGCGGAATCAATAGGAAGCTAATCCCACAAACTCACCTAAAAAGGTAGCAATGGATGTGATATGATGCATCATAATCCACAATGTAACAAACAAAATCAGTGGTTAGAGACTATTTTAAAGATACAGCACCCCCACAACACTCCTGTGGTTGTGAATTGTTAATGTGATGAAACACTGGACATTTATACACACAAAAGTGATCTGGTCAGATTGAGAAATACGATACTATATAATTAGTCACAAGTTTAAAATAATAAAATAAAAGACACTGTAAAGGTCAACATTCACACCTCCATGGATTGCATGGAATAAATTAAACCTTAAACCAGTTGCAAACAGGTTCCTTCACTCTGCTCAGTCAGTGTTTTATTTATGCCTATATATGGAATAATACTTTTCTAAATGCTTCTGAAGTAGCAAGAATAAAAATGAAGGCTCTTGCATCAATAGTTATTGGACAGCAACTTCAACACTGCCAGCTGTGTAGCTACACAGTTCCTTTGTTCTTTTGCATCAGTGCAGGGGGCATGGCTCCACGTGGTATGTAGAATGAAGAAACGCAACATGTGGTGGCTTAAAGAGGAAAAGCTTCTTTCATTCATCATTGGTAGAATCAAAAAGGAAGGAACTTATACTGTCCATGGTACCTTCATAGGTCCTCTTCAGAAGAGGTATATATTGTTATACATAAATGCCCTCAGGGTTAAAACCAGATGACAGTGGATTCTGTAGAATTCGAAGATTACTGGGGAGCTGCCTTGATGAACCTGGGCGTTTCAGGGACCCAGACTGAAATGTTGTCTCTACACAAAAAAGATGATAATTAGTATGATTTACTTAATAATTATGAAATATTATTTGTAACATTTAGAGAACACACTTATTCCTTGGCCTACCAGTGTGCTTGAGTGGAGCACAAACATAATTTACATAGAATATATACACAAGTGACTGTATAATGGTTGACATTAAGACACACAACTGCCACTCATTTTAATGCGAGTTGTTTGTTAGTTGGCTTTGGAAATATAACAAACCCCCCCCACCCACACACACCCACACCCCCAGACAGTGCCCATATACAGGAGGACCCATGTAGACATGCACTCAAACTACTAACTCCCTGCCCTCCTAAAAGAAACACCATGGCATCATTAGCGGAAGGGCTCTATACAGGGGTTGACAATAAAGGCCTTAGAAAAAGGAGTGTTTTCAGAAGATGTTTAAAAAGTGGGAGGGATAGGCTGAGATGAAGGTCCAGGGAGGACCTGCAGGGGCTGTCACAGCAGAAGCTCAGTTACCTGCTAGGTACAACAGTGGTTCCATCATTGCCACAAACAATTTGCATGAGTATATTTATAATTATATGTGTGTGTGTGTGTGTGTGTATAATGTGAGATTTTTTTAAGGTATGAAAAGAGAACTTACATAGCATACTCTTGCTATTTTGTTATACTCAGGGACTAGCAGATAAATAAAGAGTTCATTTGATGTTTAGTGTATTAGTGTTAAAGGAAGAGAGAAGTGTATTTTTTTTCTCCTTACAAAACTTCCAAATTTGTACCTCTTTCGAGCTGTGTGTGTGAAGCCTCCACTTCAATAGGATCTGCTGGTAGCACTGTGACCTTTGTTCCTGTTTGCTGGATAAATTGTTGGAGATTTACTTGTCTTAGCTCCTTCGTTAGTTGCTCCAGTTCTTGTTCTCGGTCCTAAACAGAAAGGGGGGAAAAGAGTCTGTTTAGAGCTGGGTAAGTCTGGAACAGACATGCAAAATTCTATCCATCCATTTGTCTCTGGGGCAAGTCTTTTTTTTCTTTGACGGGTAAATAGAAAGTCACTAGTTTTTAAGATATTGTTTTGTTGAAAGATGGTTTGCTGCATGACTTACAAAAGTAAAATGATACTGATTCATATGGACTTATCTACTTGTTAGCAGTTATCATATCTTTATATTTGCTTCCTTGTCCTCTCTCAGACACTACTCAAGTCACCTGAACAGAAACTTGGCACAACAGAAGCAAGAGGCTCTGATAATCCATATCCTGAATGCTACAGAGGCTGACCTTTTGTTTAAGGCACTGGTTTGGACCCTGAAAATCTGGCTCCAATTTGTGGCTCTGCCACAGACTTCTTGTATAATTTGGGCAAGTCACTTAATTACTCCGTGCCTTAGTTTCCTGTCTGTAAACTGGGGACAATACTTCCTTTCTCTATACCCTTTGTCTTGTATATTTCGACAGTAAGCATTTCTGGGCAGGGACTGCTTCTCGTGCATAGGGTGTATATAGTGTCTAGCACTTGTTTGGCAAGTACATTTCAGAAATTGCTCTGGTTTTAAGAAAACAAGTCCTCACAGATTTTTGCCAAAATTCTTCAGAATCTATTTGGTCTCAGCTTGCATTAATATATTACATTCTGAAATCATGCACTCAAATGTCAGGAAATTCCAAAAATGGATATCCTCCCCCCCACAACATTAACTCTGTACTTGTTTACTCTATCCTATAAAAAACACAAACAGTAATGCACTGAGGCATTCATTTAACAAAAGGAAGAGGATTAGAAGACGCTAAAAACATGCAAGTGGCAACACTAACATTGTGAATAACCTCAGCCTTTGGAATTTCCTAACTTCGGAGTGCTGGAGAGTATCTAAGTCCCATCGAATTAAGCTCCTAAATCACTTAAGAGCTTTTGAAATTTTTCCCCTGAGGTCTCACACCAAACATTGCATCAGTGCTTTTTTTTTTTTGCATTTCAAATCTTTTCTAAAAATGCCAATGGCAAGGAAAAAAGAAAACTGCTAAATCACAGCATATGCTTGACTGAAGGTGTCCTTAAAAATACAGAGGGAGAAGAGTGATTGGGAAAGTCTCATATGCATACATGAAAATGCTGACTTTACATGTTCAGACCCTTAGAACTACTGAACCAGTTTTCCTCCCTTCCTTATTCAGCAAAGACCATAACAAACAAGTCACATTTAAAATTTCTAATTTCAAATCAGCTAGTTATGCAAGTACTAAACACTTCAGTCTGAGATTATGGAGAAACACATCTCCTCCTCTCTCTTGCATAACTCAAACACAGCTGAACTGATTTTGCTCAAACTTTCTGGAAAAAAATCATCTTTAGGTTGAGAACAAGCATTGAAAATTTAACCTAATAGGAATTTGCTTGGGACAGCCAGAGCATATGAAAAAGAGAGTGAGAATGGGAGTTTGAACTCCGTGTAAGCCTCAGTGGATGTTATCAGCATTGTTATTTAAATAAAATAAAATAAAAATGAAGAGGGGGTTCCTCCTGGCATCACAGTAACTAAAAGGATAATTTGTAATGTCACTGGAAGCCGGGGATGGGTGGCTAGACATATATGCTTAGAGTTTTCATGTGTTTTGTTTCAGATGCCATATTTTTATTTAGTAAAAACAGCTTAAATTGATACGGTACACTGATTCTAAGGATCCCAAAGTCCTTTACATAGTGACAGCAGAATCACTTCACACTACTCAGCCACTGTGGAATGCAGCAGCAGTTTAATACAGGATATTAAAATAAATAACAGTGCTATAACCAACTAAAACTGAGTGCCTTAATTCTAGGGTGCCTGGGATATTAGACATGCCAGGAATAGGGAAATTTGCTTCCCAGTGTCACTGTATCCCCCTCTGGTCACTATTTGCTACAAACTGGATTTCCATTTATATTCATTATTTCATGCTCTACTTATGTGCAAGTGACATCATTAACTTTTGCAGGGAATAAAAAAGCAGTGACTTGATTCTCTGGTGATATGGGCTCTATAATTGCCTGAAGTAGACAGAAAACAAAATCTTGAACTCATACAGGTCAGGTAGGGAAAAGGAAGAACTAGTCTCCAAACAATGGTTTTATAACCTATTAGTTACTTTAACACACCCACTCTGATACTACTTTTGGATCTGTATCTTTTTTCTAAATATTATGCTCATGGAAGATTCTGGAGAGCAGCACTAGAGAGACAGAACTTCAGCCTCAAAAAGGCAAAGCCCAGACAGGTAGTGCAAGCTTCAACCTTCATTATCCCAATGTCACTCAAACACTGACTTTACAAAAGAGACTATTCTTAGGGTAAGAGGAGGGTACAAGCCTCTGCCAATACTGCCAAACCATAATATCAGATATGGTGGTAATAGCAGCTATGTCAGATGTGGACTCTCATCCACTAGGAACTCAGACCACTCCGTGATTTCACACAGATCACTGAACAGCCAACGGATGGTAATGACTTCGGGTCACTACCAATTACGGTTGCCAACTTTCTAATTGCACAAAACCGAATGCCCTTGCCCCACCCGTGCCCTGCCCTTTCTCCGAGGCCCCACCCTGCTCACTCCATTCCCTCTCCCTCTGTCGCTTGCTCTCCCTCACCCTTACTAACTCATTTTCACCAGGCTGCGGCGGGGGGGGAGGGGGGTGTAGGGTGTAGGCTCTGGGCTGGGGCCAGGGATGAGGGGCTTGGGTTCCAGGAGGAGACTCTGGGCTGGAGCCTAGGGGTTTGGAGTATGGGAGGGGGATCTTGGCTGAGGTAGGGGGTTGAGGTGTGGGAGGGGGTGCGGGCTCTGGGCTGGGTGTGCAGGCTTT